ATTATATGATTTAAAAACATTAATATGTTTTAAAAGTGAGTGATATTTATTTATTTATTTGAATAAAAGAAATTTTTTTAATAAAATATTTTCCTTTACCAATTTAATATATTTTATATTCATTTCACATAGCATTTTATTTTAATATAATATGGAATATAGGTATATTATAAATATAACAATTTTTATTTTTAATTAACATTAATATAGATATTTATATATATTAATCACGAAATTAAATAATGCATATTTTATAAAATTATTTAAACTTCTTAGTAAGATTTTGTTAGATATTTTCTCAACAAATTTATTTCTAATATCTTACTAATTACTAAATTATTTTTCCAATTATATACATTTGATTGATTAATATAAATAATTAAATATGTCATATTAATGAGATGGTCCAACATGACTTTTTTGTAGTAGATATAAATAGTAGTTCTCTTTTAATAGAGAAGATATGAGAGTGATGGGTTCCTATAATCTAGGAATAAGGAGAGATTGTATATCAATATTCGTAATGGTAAGAATATGTAGAAATAATTAGTTTATTTAAAGGTAGTACAATGGCACAAAAGTAATATTCCAGGATATACCAAGGGTAAATAATAGCAATGATTCTGTTTTAATAAATTTGATTGGAAAAACTAATAATGAGAGAAAGAGGTTTCAATTTATTTTTTTTTGGATTTATATGTCGTTAATTTTTATTCCGTATCGGTTGTTGGAGAACCACCAACAAACAACACTCTTCCGGTTCAGGCTGGGTCATACCGAACGGTTTGATGTCTCTAGCGCAATTCTTGGTGTCTCCCGTTTCCGACTACAACGACGCCGTTTGGAATAATCACCCGAGTAGTCTTTATCATCTTCTTCTTTCTTGCGTAGTTTCTGCAACTTCCTTTTCTGCCGCCATGGAAATCGATCCAGCGACCAACGGAAACACCGACACCGTGATGACGGAATCCACTCCCACGATCACCACTCCTTCTCCCCCCGTCCCGGCGTCGAGATTGAGCCATCTGGCGGAATCGCTCAAGCTCGAGCACCAGCTCCTCCGCGTACCGTTCGAGCATTACAAGAAGACGATCCGTGCCAATCACCGTGCTTTGGAGAAAGAGGTCTCCTCCGTTGTCTCCAGCGTCGGTGATTTGGCTGATAACAATTGGTCCAAAGACGTCGCCGTTTCGCGTCTCACTAGCCTTGTCTCTCGATTGCAAGGTCTCAAACGAAAGGTTGATTCTTTCTCATTGTTTGGGTTTGGTGGTTAAATAGTTTCTGACTTTCTGAGCGATCACTTGGATCTCATTTGATCTTGGATATTGCTTTTGTCGACTTTGATAGTTATTACATAAAATAAAGCACTACACTTTGGATCTCACTGATTGTTCAGTGTTCCATGTTGTCGTAGTGTAGTGTACTTAAGTCACTAAGCTAATTTAGTGTTACTTTCTATGTTACTTCAAAGGATTTGAGGACCCTACATGTTCTTCCTAGTTTACATTGTCTTTAGCAAGTTACTTACTACAGAAAATTGAGTTGTTTCATCTGAAGAGCCCAATAATCAAAACATTTGCATCTTCTTCCTAGATTTCCTTCTTTGGGGTGATAATAAATATGCTTATTTGTTTTGTTATTTAGTTGGAAGAAGGGAGCAATGTGGAGAATTTGCAGGCTCAGAGATGCCGTGCTCGCATCGATCATTTGGATTCAGCAAATGTTGAGAATATTACTGAATGGAACGATACAAAGCTGAAACGGATTCTTGTGGACTACCTGCTCCGGATGTCGTATTTCGACACTGCTTCAAAGCTTTCTGAAAGCAGCAATATTTCGGTCTCCCTCTCTCTCTCTCTGGACACTGATTATATAAACATTATATGGAGATTTCTAACCACTTGTCATTCATTCATTCATTCGAGCATGCTGATGCTATATTTCTATGTCCGTTTGAACTACATCTTTATGAGTTCTAACCATGTTTAGTTCCTTGCAGCATGATCATGTTGCACAGCTGTGTGTTTTCCTTTTTCTATAAGCAGTAAAAACAATTTATCCGTTTTCAGGACCTTGTGGACATTGACATATTTCGAGAAGCTAAAAAGGTGGTTGACGCCCTTAAACGTAGGGAGGTAGCTTCTGCACTGGCATGGTGTGCTGACAATAAAACACGGTTGAAAAAGTCTAAGGTATGTGTTGCTCATTCTACGTGTACTTCCACATGATTGTTAGAGGCACTTTCCGTTCTCGTTATAAGGACGTATTCCTGCGTCTCATGAATGCCCATATACTCGTTTACTGAAAATTTTCAGAAGATTGCCTTTTACTCTTCTCTCCGTCGCATGAAAAAGGTGAAGTTGTTATTCCTACTAATTTTATTTTGGTTCTTTTCATTACAGAGCAAACTTGAGTTCCAACTAAGGCTGCAAGAATTCATCGAGTTGGTACGAGCTGACAACTACAAACAAGCAATCATTTATGCTCGTAAGTACCTCGCTCCATGGGGAGCAACCCATATGAACGAATTGCAGCATGTTCTGGCCACTTTGGCGTTTAAAAGTACTACGGAATGCACAAAATACAAGGTGAAATTTCCATCAGTGATGAATTGGCGCTTCTATATATTTTTCTCTCTGTTAAATGTTAATGGCTTAACAAATAGTGTTACTTCCAACTCTTGTTGAATCTGAATTGATTTTTCTTAGGCTAATTAGGTCACATATTTGCTATTTTCAGGTTTTATTTGAACTACAGCAGTGGGATGCTTTAGTTCATCAGTTTAAACAA